AATTTTTTTTTTTTTTTTTTTTTTTTTTTTTAATAAAACGTACTCGAGCAACGGGTTACGTAAAAGAAACAGAGTTTCAGCACTTTTGAAATCGAAGTTATTTGCGATACACCATACCATTTCCTGTGCCCAATGACTACCTGCAATGAATTCAAAAATTGATAGAAATTCATGTCATTATACAAAATACCTCGGATTTTAGCGGCTAAATTTTCCCATTATACATATTTTATGGATTAGAAAAAGAAAAAGATATTATACAAGCATATGTCGTTTAAAGCTTTATTAAAAAATTATGACAAAGATACCACGTGATCAATCGATAAAGAAAATTAATGATGCGTTTACAGAAACGAGGCAAAATAAAGATGAACTTCACAGAGTAAAAAGTTCCGCTTTCGACCGCTGTCAATCTTGTATTATCAAGAATGATGGATATTTTGAGACGGAGTGTTTGTTAATTCTGGGAGCGCTACAAGAATATCGTGTTCCTTTTAACAATCTGAGATAGTAAACACAGCTCGTATAAATATAATGCGTACTTTTGCCGTAAGTTTTTAATCAAGTTTTAAACGACCTATGTTTATGTAACATTTATTCCCCCTAGTTGTAATATACTGGCAAAGTTTCGTCACTAAAACCTAGGACACACTGTATAAATATAAAACATAAAATATAGATTTGAACGAAATTTACCAGTTCTCGGATATGAAATCATCCACACATCATCGTCATAGATTTCCATATCCCTGATATTCACCCCGTGAAAAACGAATTGGGGTGGTAATAAACAATGGCCTGGTTCTACTCTTAGGAAACTAGGTTTCACGCCAAACATCTTATCCAATCTTCGTCCTACATCTCCTTCGATCGTGGTGAAATTAAGAAATTTGTTGTCCACTGCAAAGATTATACTCGATGTAACGACAAAATCGTGCAATTTTTCGCCCAAATCCATGTAAATTGAACAACTTACTTGGTATACAATTTCGTTAGAAAGAAATCGAACACTGACACACGAACGGGGATGTTAATCGTGCTGCGGTCTGAAATGAAATGAGGATCACGGACTTATTGGTACCTTCTCGGTCCACTGGCAGACCAGTTTTCTCTTTTTTAAACGGAAACAACTTTCGATTCTTGAGCATTTCCACTTAATATACGTATATGGTAATGATGGCTATAATATTGTGCATTAATAGGTAATTATTATGGATAAATCGATGAAAATTAAGTATGTTGCCCGGTTGGTTGTTCAGTCGTTGGACAATATTGTGCAATCATCTTAGAAAGAAACTGCGTCCCTTGTTCCGTTAAGTTTGTATATTACAAACTGGTAGAAATTTTGTTTTATTTAAAACCATTTTATTTTCATAAAAATATAGAATGCTAGAAAGACGTAATTCGAAGATGATTTCGATTTATTAACTTTCTCGTAACAGATTTCTCTCTGGAGAAAGTTTACGCTTTCCAACTAAATGCACCAATACTCGTATATGTTAAGTAATGTACTTAAATCTCAAAGAATATAGGAATTCTTTTTTTGTCGCATTAGTGTTGTCTCATTGATTTTAATCTTTTGCAACTGTTATGACTCTCAATCCCTCTATCTTCCTTATTCGCAGTCTCTCCCTATATTCGACGCATGTTGTAGACAAACAATAAACGATCTTACGAATTCTGTTTCCTGAACTCTTATAAACGATTTATGTAGATATAAGGAAAACATGCACGTGATCGATTGCCGCGGCTGCAGCTTTTGGCTTGAATCGATTATCACTCGCCAATGTTCAGGGGCGAACTGCTATTGTTATTCTATGGCTCTTTCTACTGGCTAACGAACCTTCATAAAACTTTTCTGATTTTATTTATTCCATTATCTAGATACATTGATATCTACAACGAATACTTGACATTGATTATGAGAGTGGATAAAAATACATCAACGCAATATGTACAATAAGAGAGGAAATAAAGAGACAGAATGAGGATAGATTTAAGAAAAACAGCTGCAAGATACGACGAAGGAATCAATGAGGGAAAATACAGTATGTTGGTAAAGGAATGTTGGCAGAAAGGAAAAGAAGAGGAAGATAGATGCCGATGGACGAGATGAGGAAAAGGAAAGGAAGAATATTTTAGAAGGTGTGGGTACTCGGAGAAAGAGGTAGAGAGGTTTGAAAGTGAAGAGAAAGAGATGTGGAAAGTTTGGGAAGTAAGAGATAGATGCAAGAGGAAGAATTAGACAGAGCAAATAAGATCTGAGAACCTAAATACGTTCAGAGACATGGAAAAATAATAGTGCTAGATTGACCAGGTTACACAAAGAGGAATGAGCAAAGGAGGAAAATAGATTGAGATCCGGAAACAAGGAAAAAAAGAATAGATACTGCAAAGAAAAAAATAAGAGGTGACGCGAGCTATGTGGAAAAGAGCTGGAGACGCTGAAGGGATGGCAAGTATGAGGAGCGTGGAAGAGTCGCTGAAAGATGAGGGATAAAGATTGGAATAGGCAAAACAATTAGAGGAAAGAAGGAAGAAGCAGAGAAAAAAGATAGAAAAGTGCTAATAAAAGGAGCTGTTACGTCTAAGTAATGGAAAAACGCACAATCAAAGAGGACACGAGGCAATGCAAAGTACATATTTAGATTACAAGGGTAGATTTGGATATGTAGTTTGTTACTTAGTCACCATAGTTTTCTTGTTTGATTTTAAACATAGTTCTTCTTAATGATGGATTACTACTGTTGTTTATGTGCATGTTTGCACAATGTAAACTGGAGGTCACCGCAAAACTAAAAGGCAAGCGAAGGTGAAGATTGCATGTATGCATATATATTCTAAATATGTATCTTACTCTGTATATATATTCTAAAAATGCTAAAAATAGATTATATTTTTTAAGAATTTGTTTCTTAACAAGTTAACATTATCATTAAATATTACAATTGGAAATTCATCGTATGACTAAGATGGTATTTATTAATAAAAAAAATTACAGTAAATTCGCACATTCGAATGCACTGATCTCTCTGCGATTTTGATTCATTTCTAGCTTAGGAACGAAACATTCCGCCTGCACGTGTGATGGAAGATGAAATTCTTCGTTCTAGATCTATTTACTAAAATCAGTCAATTTACGCTTGTATAATAAAAAGGTACGACTAATCTTAGTAACCTATATCTATATTTATAACAAACGAAAAAACACAGCCGTTATTCCTGCAAGTAACGATAATCGTTGAGTAACAGCGATGCTTTTCGAATAAGCATCCAGTATGTATATCTTCCAGCCCATATTTGCATGGGTAAATGAATTGTAATAAACGATATCTGGCCAGGTAGAGTTCGGTGTAATTTCTAGCACTCCACCTTCACCTACAAGAAATGACAGTGAATGAAGAAACACTTATTTATAAAAGAAACAAAAAGAATTAGAAACTTTATATTTTCTTACCTGATTCACACGTACTCACTAATGTTCTATTAAATTGTTTAAACGTCATAAAATCATCATCTAGTCTTCTGTCTCGGGCACCGTGTTTGCTTAAGCAAAGTGGCCCAACTAAAAGGAATAAATTGTTCCGGCATTACGTATCTTTTTTCGAAATAACTTCGATTACAGCCGGTTCTGTTTTTACATAGATCGAGGAAAATACACGATCCTCTTTTTACAGGATATAATTTCATTTGACGCGGTTCAAACGGCGCATCCTTAGAAAATATTCGTTTGACACTTTACACTCGAAGCTTCCTTTCGTAAATTATTGTCTTTGTAAGTTCATAAAATAAGAAATACGTTGAAATATGACTAAAAATTAAATAAAAATTCAATCGAAGATTTTTACAGGATTTGCTCGAAAATAATGTATTAAATAAAATGAAATAAAAATTTGTTCTAAGTTCTCACTCTTGCAATCTCTTCTATCCTTTTTATCGCGTGTTTCTTTCTTTTTTTCGAGAATCAATTGATCGTGTAAAAACAGGACCAGGTGTACAAATATTTTATTAGGAACCTGCGGTTGGTCTCGGTTGTCCTCTTCTGGTGAACTCAACACCCGCCAAAACTCTGATTTTACTTTGCGCCGCATCACTGAGTTTATCATATCCACCGTGTGGTTCATTAGTTATAATCAATGGGTGGTACAAATTCGGACTGTGAGGATTATTTCCGCCGTGAACACGGAAATTGTACGTCAATCCCCGACGCAGATATAGTTTGGGTACCAACTGACCCTCGATGTACCATGCCAAACCTGTAGACGTTTGTCCTACGAATTGAACAAACTAATATATTGCTTGATATTAAGTATCCCATAAATGAAGAAATATTCGCATTCTCCATTAATGAATATAATCAAAATATTCGAAATATCTCGAACTCTAAATCAAACCTGTAATTCCTTGATAGCCCTTTTTGCCCCCAGACGGGCCGATAGTAGCTCTAAACGACCGAATACTTCTATCAAATATCTCTGTCTTCTCCCAAGGTTCTCTGGCAAAATAAAGTTTCCAATTAGTAGCATCTGTGTAAATATAAATCATCAGCGTGTTACTTACATTAGTTTCTCATTTGTTTCCGTAAAATCCATGCACGTGTTCTCTGGTTCTTCAGGAACTAGTTCTAACTTCAGATCGCTCTTAGGATATACATCGTGGAAAGTCGGCTCTTTATTTTCATCCAATCTTCCCAAAGCCCATATCACGTAAACTGGTCTATTCGTCGGATACTCTTTATCTCCTGGATCAGCTACGATATAAAGTGTACCATATAATTCCACTTCGGCACTTCGCTTCCATTTTATGTGCTAACTTACACGAGTTGAGAGTACGTCTATATGTAACGATACTAATTCCATCTTCTCTAACAGCAGTATACATCTGGTTATTATCTAAACCCCCGAATAATTCATCCCTGCAAACTCCCCTGTATTGGCCGAGAACTTTTCCACACTGTTGGTGAAATAGGAAAACAATTATTCTTTTTGCTTTACTTTTATTTATAGTACATTCTACAAGTTACTCGAGACACTTGCTCGTGGATAGTATAGAATATTGGAGTTAGACATAAATGGATGTAATAATTACAAACTGAATTTACATAATTTTCTATTAACTGCGTTGTAGTATAAGGAAAACTAACTGTAAGTTATGCTATGTTTTGAAGATTTTATTGCAGACCAACTTTGTTAAAGTTTGCGTTTAAAATTAACAAGTGTCTCGCAATGTAACATAAGTGTTGATAATGTTCTTGGTATTTACGTACTGGTGCTTTCGCAGTGATGTTATAATCCACAGCGTAGCCTCGAGTACCGTCCACATAAGCGATCACAGCATCCGCGCCTTCCATTTGGCTAGAAGTTTCGGAACCAGAGAGACCGAACGCCATGTATTCATCTTCACCTAAGGTTAATTAACGTTCTATTATACCAACGCGTAATTGATTCAACATCTGGTCAAACAAGATGATACGTCATTCGAATAATCATTTTTCAAATACCTTTGTTCGAATATTAAGTTTGCTACAAGATAACTGAACATGGTTTTAACTATACTTACTAACTTGTCCTGCTAATTGAATAGTGATCTGTGGTCCAAAAATTTCCCAACCGATTTGAAATCGTTTGTGGAGTTGAATGCAATTTGGTAGAGTCTGCGTGTGCTTGATCACCTGTACTTTGATAGATCGATTACTAGTACGCAAAGTTTCATTTCGATAAACTATCGAAGACTGAAAAAATTGATTACTTTTACTAACGAAGGAGGTACGTTTAATCCATCCGGAACTATGACAGAGCCGTAGCTGGTTTTAGTTTTCACGTCGAAGATACTTAACCAGTCGATATTGAAAACAGTCATGTCTCCAGGTAATTGAATCGTTATATCTTCTTCCTTGTAGGCGCGAATTGATTCCAGGCTGATGGAACGCAAGAAAACAAGATTAGCTGAGAAAATCTACTTGTTGAGAATAGAATTAACCAAAATTGAAAAATCTATTCGTTCGAAAATTTCTAGTGATTACTTACTAGCCATACTCGTCGGGTACTTTCGTCCCTTTGCTGTTAGGCTGTGGACCAAGTCCAACCCAAAAATACGTGTCTGTTCCCTGCCCATCGTATGTAAATTCTGGTATTTTTATGGTTTTCGAATCCAGAATTACGATGGACCCTGAAGATACTCCGTGTGATCGTTTTGTTAATTGAGAAATCTTTTGCGGTACTGGTGGATCGAATTCGTCGGGAATGTACACGTCGCCAAACGTATTCTGAGAAAAATATTTTTTTTACGGTTATCTCAACGATATACTAACGTTGAAACAACTGTAATTACTGTTATACGATATACCTGGCTGCTCAAATCGTACACAGCGAACCATTTTATATCCGTTATTCTTTTATTATCCGGTAAAGTAAGAGTGAAATCCTTATTCAAGTACCGATCGAGGACATTCGTTCTGAAACAAGAAGATATCTTTAAATCACGTACTTTCATCTCAAGGTTTCTGTTACACCGAAACAAACTGACTTGCCCCATTCATCCGGTACGATGAAGCCTTGTGGACCAGGTCGATTCGACGCACCTGCCCAGAAAAAGGTGTCGGCTCCATTGCCATCGTAGCTAAAGGAAGTTAGCAACAACGTGTACTCGTCAACGACGTAAACGTCACCAGCTACTTGATGATGATACGCGTTCAACTTCCCAAGGTATTTCCCTCTGTATTCCTCGTGATCCGACTCGTCCAGACCTATTGATTTCGTTTCATCGTGAATCACGCTATGGTTAGAAAATGATTACTCACTTAGAAGTTCTTTGTTCCGAATCACGGTCACGAGAGAAAGTAAGGAAAATTAAACTTTACAATATAGATCACTGTTTTCATTATGATCGTGTTTACGCAATACGGACGCTTAATGGCATTAACTTGTTAAATATTCCTTACACCGATACGTTAAATATTTAGCTGTGTATTAAATATCTAGAAAATATAAAACCATTGCTGTTACATTTGATGTATGGCTATTTGACTGATTGAACGATCGATATTAACAACTGATCGAAGCTGATATGCTTGTCATATTTGACTCGAATATCTCGAAAATTTCCTAAAACCATCACAAACCACGTTTGACAGGCGGAGATCTCAACGCACGGTCAAGGAACGTCATTCGACGCCGCGTTCACTACTCGAATTATTATCCATCGATTCACTGTCAGAACATACGGTTCCCTCGTATAATCGACAATTTTGAGAAACATACCACAGACAGGAAACAGTACACATGTCAAAAGTGTGACAAGAACAGGCGCTATCCACCTCCTCGTAACATCTGCCATCACTTCATCTTCCTTGGATTGCTGGAAATGCCTCAGGTCTTGTTCCTGAACGATTCGATTTTAGTTTTGTCGCCACTAAGATTCATGGAAAAACGAAAGCTCGATCGCAAACCAGGCGACGAAGCCCCGAGAAGAGAACGACAGAGCACGCAGTCACTGCAATGGACGCGGTTCCGACTTGTTCTGGCCACCGTCTTTAGAAAGTAGACTTTGAGTGTTCGAACGGCTTACTATACCGCTCTCCAGCCACCTTGGCACGTGTTCCTGTCTCGAAGAGAAAGTGTGCGTGTACTGGAGGTGCCTCAAACGCGTTTCAATGTCTACGGCTCACGGGTTCTCTCAACGTGTCGAATTGGAGGGACAGTGTCGTTGGACTCCTGTCTTTCCGGTACTCTAAAATGGAATGCAAGTCAGAGAGGAAAAATAAAGTTGTCGGTTGAATGGCTAAACAGCATCCGCTGTAGCGCGCTATGCCGAGGTTACTCATTTGTTTCTAAATGCACGTTTGCGAGCTCAGGATTATAATATTACGGTTCTTTATTAACATTGCAACTATCAAAGTTCGGATTTGTTTAATACAATTAATGTTGATTTTTACTGAGACAGGAATGCCATTTACGTATTCCAAGTCATACAACATTTCTATATAATTAAAGAAAGATCGTTGCAGTACTACTACAATATTACGTTTATTGAGAAGTATGTATTGTACTTCAAATTGTACAAAATTCGTCTATAAAATTCTATAATAAAATGAAATAATTAAAGAAAAAATATTATACAAATCTTTAAAATTCCTTCTCAATCGGAATTCGTTAATGTAAATTAAGTAAAAAAGAATTGCGAATGAAATGTCAACTCGTTAACGTTATCTTTTTAGTGGATTAGAGAGAAAAATATTTGTAAGGCGTGTATTTCGCGTTTAAACTCAACATTAGCATGTACATGTATGCGTACATGATGTTTGATCGATTTAGAGCCGGCGCAATACAAAGTAAATAACTCTTAACAGTATGTTTACTAAAAACTCAAACACTTCATTATCTCGACAATGTTGAACACAGAATTTAATCGTCAGATAAATGGTAAGATATTATACTGATATGATTCTTAATTCCTCGAAATAACATCTTATGATTTATAGATTCGGTCGAGGAGCAATTCATATGGCTTCTCAGATTCGCTACAGTAAGAAAGATCAAAGATTTTTTAACGAAAATGTGAGTAAACGAATTATACCGATTATACCTGTCGTTAATAACTGTTGCTATAATTGTAGTCTATCGATAGATCTACATTATCCTACACCAAATTTAAAAACGCCTATCACGGCAGCTATCGATCGCGGTGATCTGCAGATCCTATCGTTTTTGTTAGAGAAAAATTCGATTGATCTGGACAATACTACTACCCAACCTTGGGCTAGGACTGCTCTTATGTACGCCTCTTACGTATCCAGAAACCCAGAAATATTACAGATTCTTTTGAAGAAGGGGGCAGATCCTGGAAAAGTGGATATGTAGGTCGTACAATTAATATAAATATCTGTGCTTTTATTTCTAATAAATGTACACTTGTAGAAGAGGTTGGACTTGTCTTCAGTATGCGATTGTAGCAGAACGATCGAAGAATGTAACGTTTCTTTTAGATCACGGCGTTTCAATAAATCAAAAAGACGTACAGGGAAGAACACCGCTTATGATCTCAGGTGAAAGAAATCAAAGTGAAGATCGATTAAGATTAATTTAGACTGTCAATTTTTATGAGCACAACTAACAAAATAGGATTCAAATAGACGTTCTTTTATTCTATTAAACGTTATAATGAAATTGTAAAAATTATCTTACTTTCGATATTTTATATATATTTGCATGTTATATGCATTTTATGATTTTCTTTGTCCTTAAATTTCACACAAGTACGTAAAAATCGTAGTCTACTAAGTATTTATTAAGAATCATTTGTCCAGTATACAGTTCGAACGTGGACATTCTTTCGATTTTATTGGATCACGGGGCTGACGTCAATATACGGGACAATATGGGTTTCATCGCCCTTCAAATAGCAATTTTATGGAGAAAAAGGGACGCAGCGATTATATTAATCGAAAGAGGAAGCGATATGAGCGTTGTTACACCTTCAACCAAGGCCACAATTGGACAACTTTGTAGAACCAGTATGCCGAACATTCTTCGATGCCTCGAACCAAAAAGATATTATAGCATTGATTGATATTTTTATTATAACACTGTTTTCCCCCGTATTACAGAGCTTTTTCCATTCTTAATATAATACATTTCGTTTTTCAATTTTTAAAAATGTATAAATATACGTAGAACGTCGTTCAGAAATTGAGATGATACGGAGAAAATCTTTCTTTTGTTAATCTGTCAAATTCTTGGATCACGTTGTCGGGCAATCTCTCCTTCCACTCACCGACTTTACCACTTCGGATAAACGAACCTTCAACGGTGATTTTATTCCGCTCCTTGTTCCTTCGAACCACATCCTCATGATTCACAGCTGGATTTTTCTTCATACTGGCAAACTTCAAATGTTCCTCCAATACTTTTACTTGAGCGTCAGTCAGAGTTCTATCAAGGAACGCAGCTGACTTCCTTATCGCACCAGGCAAGTCCTAAATTTTACAAAAAGGATATTCGTATCCTCGAAGCAACTGCAAATGTTTAAGTTTACTTACAGCTATCATATATTCGTATTTCAATAATAACATATTGAGAGTGGTCTGCTTCTTCCAGAAGTCGAGAACGTGGTCCCAATATGAAGTATAACTCACTACAAAAATAATAATTCTATGATAAAGTTATTATATAATTCATACGAGGAGCAAAAATACATATCAAATTTCACGATCGAATAAAATGTCAATTTTAGTAGCACAGAATTGATCAGTACGGAATTGATGGATATCGAATTTTAAAATCGCTAATTATGTCTCTTATCTACGTGTTATCTTTTATCATCAATTGTAATAACATGCACGTACGTTTATCTGCTAGGAAAAGGCGACAGAAATCGGAAAAATTGCCACGATAACCTTCTATTATTTGACAATGATGAAAATAAGAGATGCAGGTATCTTTTGGATTTCTCGCCACGTAAATAATCTTCGGCTTTTTCTCGCCTGTCCGAATCTGGCGTGGAAGTAAATCAAAAGGTAAATGAGTTTTGATGAATCTTGGAGAAGCTTTATTTTTCGTATACTCCACACTATCCACAGTTGACAGAGGTAACTGCACTTCCGGATGAATTTTTGTGTACGGCAAATAATCAAAAAGTATGGAGTACCTAATAGAACATATCATTTGTATTATTTTTAATATTTATAAAAATCATCGATCACTTCGCTTCGTTAACTTACTCAAAAAAGGGGAACCTTTCGGATAAGTGAACTTTGGCTCCTTCAAAGTCTAAATTATTTGCGACGTTCCAGATCATTTCCTGAGTCCATGTTGTTCCTATAATTATGTCGTTCAAATTAAAATGTAACCTTTTATACCCTCTTATGACTTAATAAGATTGACTAAGATGTACCAGTCTTTGGAAAACTGCAAACCCAAATATCGTCATTCTTGACTTCGAAGTTTTCAATTACGTCTGCAAAAACTTCGTATCTCGTTGGTAAACAAAAACCGCGCACTTTGGTGTATCCAATACGAAATTCATTCGTAAATTGGTCTTGTAGAATTTGGTCCAAGTCATCGGTCCGAAGAGTTGTCATTTTAAAACGCTATATCCTATAAAGTTGTATTTTAATCGATAAACACGGCTGCTTTTCGTTTTACGCGCTTTCTTTAAAAAGTATGGAACATAAAAATTCACTCGAATGTTTTATCTGTAATGATCGTTGATCAAAGACGCAAGGACTGATTTTGCAAAGATTATCGAATGTGCTGGCATTCGAATCAAAGATCGATATCTTATTGTATCGCGAATATATCGAACGAGATACGTTCCCAGTTTGAATAGGAAATCGACTACTTCGAAATCCGTGCATATTCTTATATAGAGCGACTAAGCAGCAATTGGGACAAACGAGATAATATCGTTGGGAGGTTTTTCTTTCGGCATTACTTTACTAGAACAAGGTTATTGTCGATTTTACACGGTTTTTTTCTTTCTACCTTGCTCTGCAAGCATAGCTCTTCTCGAGCGTTCATTTGTTCTCCGACGTGGAATGTCGATAATTTTGCAGATGACAAAAAAAACGTGTTTCATTAGACAAATTATATGAATATAAACCGTCGTGAATAGAGGGAAACAAGACAATTTTCCAGCGACGTTTTGTTCTTTTACACGCTTTCGAGTTAGCGACCAAGGACATTGAATGAATGATAAAAAATAGAATGTTGAAAGAGAAATCAGCCGCGTTGCACACGTAGGTTTCGCATAAGAAGTTGCTGATCTTTTTTCTTAAATTTAGCACAGTATGTGTGAGATACGAGAATAAAATAACGGGAGAACTGTCCCTATATGGATTCTTTATTTTTATTAACCAAATGAGTATAATCATCATACAAAAAGGTAAAATATTGAAGATAAAAATTTAAGAGACTATATTATCTAAGTCTTACGAGCGGTAAAAAGTTGTGTACTGTAATTCAGGTACTAATAACTACTTTCATCATCTTAAAGCATTTCAGTTTGCCACGATCAGGCGATCCATTCTCAATCGTGCGCTTCCTCGACGCAGGAAGTTTTCGTTTTCGAAACATCTTACCAGTAAAATGTGAGATTCTAACGCTGTGAATTTACTATTGTTCCACGAAAATGAAAATTATCGTTATTATATTATCATATTTAACATACGAGATTTAACATACGTGCAACGTTTCCTATCTATATATATATATATAGTGACGCTCGCTTAAAGCGCAGTAAATCTGGAAATTTCCATTATAATTTTGAAAAAATAGGTAGCGATTTTAATTCAAAAATATTCCAAGTACCTTGACAAGGTAACAATAATAAATTTAGCAGGAGCAATCAAGAATGACAAAGTACCTCTTGTTTGCGATCACTGTATCAATGTATCGATAGATTTAGATAACGTTGAGATCAAAATATTGGGTAACATATTGAATTTTAATGGAACGACTGCATTAAAACTAGCAGTACTACGTATTTTTGATATGAAAATATATTGGCAAGACAAAGTTTCTTAAATTCAATG